GCAACTTGGGAGATTTGAGGAAGAGAACGCGTTGCGAGGGCAGCGTGGGTTGAGGGCGGATTGGTGAGGCAGGCAACCAAAGGGGAAAGAGAAGACCAAAGAGCAGATGTCAGACCTCACAAGTCACAGCCAAGCTTAGCCACGAGTTGAGCGTTTCCTGACAAACTCGCCAACCACTCGCACGTGTTTACCAATTAACTCCCTGCCACCCCCATTCAAATACACACGCCGACAAATCGACAGCGGTCACTGCACCGGCCCCCCTCACCCCCCCCCCTCCCACCACAGGCCCCGCGAGGGCAGCTCGGAGTGCAACCCCGGACCATGACGCGCTCCGACACGCCCGACCTCATCGCCTCCGCCCTGCGTCGCCCCCGCGGGTCCCCCGGCGGCGCTCGCCCCGGCGCTTGGCCCGGCACCCTCGCCCCCTGGGCCTCCGAGCCGCCGACACCCTCGTGCCGCAAGCGATGCCCCGGCTCCGCGGCAGCCGCTATGTCTGAGAGCGCCGCCGGTCGGCAGCTGGCGCCAGCACCGGCGCGCCCCCAACCCAAGCCGCCGTTACCACGCCGGCCCCCCTGGATCACGCCGGGCCCGCTGTGCGCGTCCAGCCCCGAGCTGCTGATGCCGAGGTTTGCGTCGTGCCAGCCCGGACCTCCGGCGCCGTGGCCACCGCCGCCAATGGTGCCGGGGCCGCTCGCTGAGTGGCGCCGCTCGCGGGCGCCGGCGCAGTATCTGACGCCGCTGCGCAGGGCGGTGGAGGAGCGGGCACGTGAGGCGGTGAGTCGCAGCACCGGCTCACTGGCCACCAAGAGCCAGCTCTACGACATCCACCCCAGCAAGTACCAGACGCGGCACGAGCGGCCCTACCACCATGTGCCCATCCCGCTCATCCCTCGGGAAGCGGGCTCCGATCGCCGGCGCGGTGACTGGCGCCGGGAGCCATCTACTGCCACGACACCATCACCAACATGGACGCCCCGGCGTGGCCTGCTGGACGCGACACTCTCAGTGCACGAGCCCGGCCGGAGGGCACCGGCGGCGACGTTCACGTTCCGGTCGACGGGGACGCCGCTCCACCCATCCGATCGCCGGCTCGCCACGTCGGCCTCCAGCTTGAGCGGGGCACTGTCGCATGTGCGGCAGAGGATCGACCTCCACCCGCTGGACTCCACACGCTACCGGTCGTCGCCGGCACGCCAGGAGCAGCCGGTGAACTGGGCGCACAGCCGCTCAGAGCCGCACATCCCAGCGAGCGCTGGCTACGTGCCGTCGCGCCACCTCTTGCCAACGCCGGCGTACCTGGAGGGCCGACGCACGTCTGACACGGCGCTGGTGCCGACGCCGACTCCTCCAGCGCCCCCCACTCGAGGCTCATCATTCTGGACATTCTCCCGATCGCTGGACAACCTCTACGCGTGCTTGGCGGAGCGCCGGCGTGGTGATGGCACTCGCAGCCGTGAGGGTCGGCCGACTCCGACTCCGACTCCACCACCACGCTCGGCACCGCCGCGCTCTGACCGCATCCCCGTGGTGCAGCTGTCACGATCGCCGCGCCGCTACGCTGCCCTCTCGCTCTCCGAGAGTGCCATCTTCAGCAAGGCGAGCGGGCCCAGCTGGCGCCTTGCACCATCCATTACTATCACCGACAACGAGCTCTCGCCAGTGGGTGGTGGTGGCGGCAGCCGGTCGATGGAGGAGCTGCGTGGAGGCGACGGCGCCGGCGTCGGCGGTGGTGCCACCGATTACTTGGGCTTCGGCAGCCTGGCGCTGCACAAGACGGTGTCGCCGGCATCACCTGTTGCCAGCCAGGAGCTCGACGAGATCCTCACTGACATCGCGGTGCACTCCTCGCCGCGACTCTCCGACGAGTCCAGCGCGCAGTCTGACCGCTTCGCCCAGCAGCTCCACAGCCTCATTGACAGCGATGATGGCGGCGGTGCCAGCGGCCGGGAGAATGAGGCCGGGGAAGAGGAGGATGCGGAGGAGTACAGAGAGGAGAGACCAGCGGACGGAACTGGCCGAGCATGCCCGGCGTCCCCCGCCAGCCGATTGCGGCACCGGCGCCTCTCCGAGGCAGTTGCACCGGCGCCGGCGCCCACCTCGCTCTGCCGTCGCGTGCTGCGGCTGTGCCGCACCGACGCCGAGTCGCGCCGCGTGCTGTCTAGGGCGGCGCGGGTTGGGTACCTGTCCCGGGGGCGTGGCTGCCTCTTTCTGGGCTTCCCGGGTCCGGCGTCAGCATCAGCGTTCCTGCGGCACGGCCTGGACGGCCTCCTGGTGTCGCCCGCCTACCTCTCTCTGCGCGAGATCCAGGCCCATGCGCGGCGGCTTGGCGACTACGTGCATGGTGAGCGGATGTGGCGGCAAGCGGGCGGGTGGCATCGTTGATTTGGGCACTCTGCAACTGCAACGTTCTCTCACACCCTGTTCTACAGACTCCGGTAACACAACCTGCTACCTCCTCGGAGGTGCCGGAATATAATGCTGTGGTGAGCAATGCCACGGGGAGGGAAGGCTAATTTCATGGCACTTGTAGCCACCATAGGGGCCAAGGGGGGCTCTGGACAGGTGTGAGGGGCTGGTAACCCCTCCACCTTCAGTTTAATTACCACTAAACTACGTGGAAAAAGTCTAACTTAACTTATCCTGGAGGCTCCGGGGGGACAGGCGTCTATGACGTCTCCTGGCCAAACCCCATTTGGCGGAGCCAGGAGACTGAGCCCGTACCCTCGGAGTTCCTCCAGAAATGGCAAAAAGCCACTGCGAGTCACCATGTGGAATGTTCTAATGCTCACTAAAGAGGAGAGGCTGTCCACTCCCTTGTCGGGAGCTGGACTAGTACCACCTGACATTCAGGAGGTACAGTGGACTGGCTCTGGCTCCTGCCACCATGATGGGTAAAGAGTCCACTCCTGGGAGGTGGACTGCTAAACAACAGAAGAGTGGCTCTTCTTCTGAACAAAATAATGAATGAGGTGTGGGAGTGTGGTGAAAGAGGTGTGGGAAACTGTAAGCCTCAGGCTACTGTGGACTTGCCTCCCAATAAACCGGAATCAAAGAATGGTGGAGGTAGTTACTTATGCCCCCACCCAAGGTGGACATCAGTGGAGGGATGCAAGGCTGATGAGTCAGATGCCTTCTTTGACCTGTCCCAAGTGCTCGCAAAAGTGGGGGATAGAGTCATCCTATTGGCTGACTTTAATGTTCGAGTGGGTCATGATGCAGGCACCTGAGCTAGAGTCAGGGATGCAACCTAGGGGGGTTGGGGGGGTATGCAGCGTAGTGAGACACATAGGGGCCCCGAATCAACAGATAAACAAGTTCAAAATGTTGAGAAAAATGATTCACAATAAAATATTCCAACAATTAACCATAACCCGCCAAAAAACATTGTTACAAATGAAAAAAATATATTTCTGAAATATACACACAAAGTAAAATATAGTAAGCGCTACTGGTGTGTGTTACTGAAGACAATGGTTTTTGCTAACTTACATGCACATGAAAGCAAGACACATGATAATTGTAAGTATTTTAATATTTGACGAATACTGTCACTGTGAGACTGTCCTCCTCTAAACCCAATACACAGTGCAACTCAAATAATAAAGTAATCCCTCGGGTAATGTTTTTAATCTGTTCCACGAAAACTACTGTAAACCGAAATAACTGTGAATATAATTCACTCATAAGGTGATAATATAATAAGTAAAAATCACTGAGTCTGCAATAGAGCTGTTTCCACTGACAAAAAAAACGTTACAGTTATAATGTAAAAAACCCAGTCGAGGTCTCATCACTCATAAATAGACATCGCTGATTGGCTGAGGTGATGGCTCAGCCCCACTTATGAGTGCTGAGATTGGCCGAAATTGGTACCCGCCTTCATAACGTAAACATACCATTAATCAACATCTTAACATTAAATCGAAACCATGGGCTCCTTTGGGAGGCGAAACGTTAACAGACAAACCGTTAACTGATGTCACTGTTAACCGAGGGACTACTGTATATATATAGCCCACATGTTATTGTAGATGGGTTAAAATATCTGTAGCTATTTCAGTAAAAGTAAATCGGGAGAAAGGAAAGGGGTCTACAGATGTATCTTGCATACCCCCCTTGAAATAGTCGTTGCGCCCCTGGCTAGAGTGATTGGAAGGCATGGACCTGATCAGCTCAATAATAACAGTAAGAGGCTGTTCGACTTCTGTGCAGCCCATGGGCTTGTCATTACCAATACATTCCGGTATCCGCGCATCCCCACAACATCATGGATGCACACCGGGTCAGAGCAAGAACGTCTTCTGCACTATATAGTGATGGAACAGCGGATGCGGGCCCATGTCCTTGACACCAGCACCTTCCGTGGAGCTCATCTTCCCACTGACTATAGTCTTGTTATCTGTAAGATGCCACTCCAGATGCCACTCCAGTTACGTAACGCTGTGTAGAAACTACTTGGTCTATCCCACCACATGAAGCTTCTGGTTTTCTTGGTCATAGTCATACCCTCCCTTCTAAGTGCTAGAGAAAAGATGGACTGATATGGTAGAGGAGGGTATGGAGCTGAGTGGTCTTACTGGTGACTGCTGTCAGCAGTGTCAGGATCGGCCTCTCTGAAGGAGGCTCGTGAAGGACGCTACTGGGCAGTTGGAGGCAGATGCCAGAGGAGCAACGCTCACAACAACGAGCGGAGCGCTGGGCAGCAAAAAAGCACCAAGTTGATACAGTACAGGACACAGGTGATGCTTCTGCCAGTCGCCTCAGTGAGTCAACCGATGGCACTTGGGCCTGTGCCATAACATCCTGCCAGTGGGCCTTCGACACTTCACGTGGCCTCAAAGTACACCCAACCTGGCCCACATGCCGTGATGACGTAACCACCGCTGAATGGCAAATGGCGGTTGTTATTCAGTGTGTAGGTTGTGTGTTCTCTCCCCCTGTTCTACAGAGTGAGTGGAGGCTGTGTGTTATCTCCCCCTGTTCTACACAGAGAGAGCGAGTGCAGGTTGTGTGTTCTCTCCCCCTGTTCTACACACAGAGAGAGTGCAGGTTGTGTGTTTTGTCCCCCTGTTCTACAGAGAGAGAGAGAGTGAGTGGAGGTTGGTGGTTCTCTCCCCCTGTTCTACAGAGAGAGTGCAGCATCGCTCCCTGACTGTGGAAACTGGACAGGACACCATGAACACAAACCTGAATGAATCTGACTGACATTTGCAGCGATGCAGTGATGGACGCCTGTAAACCAGGCAGTTGCTGGCAGCTGCTCACAATTCCTCAAGTGTATTTTTGGTGACCTAAGACACACATCTCGACCATTACATTCATACACACACATGTTGTACCGTTCTTAATTCTCTGTAAAGCGCCTTGGTTAAGATACCATATAAGTGACGTCAAGATAAGATCTCCTAGCCACCGTAGCCCCTTGTGGTGCCTACGAGGGTCTCCCGGGTGACCGGGTCATTCAGGCCCCACGCCTCAAGGGAAATCGGAGTCCGCGGCTCTCTCCCTCCACCTGTGCGGGTGCTGCACCTCACGCTGCATTCATTTTGCTGTCCTTGGTTCAGTTTTATTCACCGAGGGTTCGTTAAGGGTCGGGTTATTTGCTGCAAGAGAGCTGTGAGGGCCCTGCTGTGGGGCGCCGCGGTGGTTGATGTGTTTCCTCCCTCGCATGGTATGGAGGAGTTCGTGGGTTGGATCTCGACCCTGATGATACCTCTATATTTGGAGTTTGCATCTCTCTCTCCCCGTGGATTTTTCTCCGGGCCCTCCTGTTTTCCCCCCTTCACATTTAGAATCAACGTCATGCATTTAGAGTATTCGGCTACTATACATTTCCTCGTGATGGTAAGCCACTTTGTTGTGCTATCATTTGTGGCCAGGTCGCTTCTAGAAAAAGAGCTACATAGCTCAGTGGACCTTACTTGGTAAAATAAATATAGTTTAGTTTTCGTATGAGTCTCGATGGGTTTCTCGGCCTCGCTGTGCGCTGCGTTGCACCGCTAGTTGAGTAGTTAACCTCACGTTCAATAAACCCTCGGAGCCAGGATGAACGTCCGACTCCAAACGTCATTTATTGAGTTTAACGAGGTAAAACTGGTGAGAAAACACAGATACAGCATCTGTTATAACCCGGAAACACCAACACAATGAACACCACAGCACCAGAACATTGTCCCAGATAACATGCTTCCCAGCAATAGACCCTGGATGGACCAGGCCCCCACACTACCACTGAACAACTACACAAGAGCACAAGCCGCTGCGTTGCATAAAGGCACATCGTGTATTCATCACACTGCACCCCAAATGTACAGCATTACACATAACACTAAACTGTGGATGAGATACTTCGTCATCTTTGCTCTCAGGATCGCAACATAGCCACCTGGGCACAAGTCTGACTCGACCTACTAAATCACAAGTAACATCCACAATAAGGAAAGTTTCAGGCTTCGTTGATAACTAGGCCTCGTATTTACCACAACAACTTAAAGGCATTTACATCACTATAACGGTCATTCCAACATCAACAACAGCATTGCCACTATTATAAGAACATAAACAAACTTACAGACAATGCTTCTCAAAGACCCATGATGGACAACTGCGGCTGGCTTCACTGGGACGCGATGTGTGCCGCCATCTTGAATAATGTGCGTAATGGCCGACACCCGCGTGGTTAAGCGGGAATCTTAAATCGCAACTTCCTGGTCACGTGACCAAAACCAGCATCAAAAACAGGAAATTCCTGTGTACATACGCCCCCCACCCCCATCTGCCGTGAGGCAAAACTCCTGCCTTGAGGCAGAACAATGGGTATTGTTCTCTGGGTTTCTGTGGTTCAATACGAGTCCCTGGATCTCTGTGGGTCTCTATAAGTATGTGTCGCTGTGGATCTGTATTTGTCTATGGGTCTCTGAGTGTGGGTCTTTATGGGTCCGTATAAACATGCGTTGACAGCATTTGGCTGCTATAAAGGAGCTATATAGCTCAGCGGGCTTTACCTGGTAAAATACGAAATAGTTTAGTTTTATCGTCGTGCAGCTGTTAGCGCACTAGCCTTTATGGCGCGACGACTCCGCTACCGAGCCTCGGTATGAGCACCGACCTCTTCACGGAAGGAGGCCATGGGCCTCACGGCATGCACCCCCCCCCCCCACTCCGCTTGTAGAGCTGCAGACTGCTGGCTCTGAGTATGACCCGGACTCGCGCTTCGTGCTCAGCGTGAGCGTCTCAGCGCCCGCTGGGCCGCTCACCGCCCGCCGCCTCGCCAAGATCCGGCTGGCCCCGGCTACGACGCCACCGGCGCTGCCTCCTCCGTCGTCCCCCTCCTCCGCCGCAGCCGCCTCGGCGTCCGATACGCTCATCCTGACGCCGCCGGCTGGTGCCGGCGACGGGGAGCGCCCCGGCGCGGAGGGCCGTCGCTCCCGGGAGTTGGCGCTCACATCCATTCAGCGGGAGCTGCGGGAGCGAGGGGTGTGCCTGCGCCGGGACCACCCGCGGCACTACGCGGCGCTGTGCCGCTACGTGGAGACGGGCAGCCGCCCGCCACCTGCCGCCATCTACCCGCTGGACCGGCGAACCGGGCGCCGCTTCCTGTGCCTCCTGCTGCCGGCGTCCGAGCCGCTGGCGCTGGGCTGGGTGGACAGCCCCAGGCTGCTGCGGGATCTGCTGTGACGGCGCTGACCCACGGGGGGGTGAAACGAAAAACCGGGCGGCGATCGGCATGGAGACCACGGCTCCAATTCACAACTTTAGGGGTTCCAAAAAAACCTGCGATGCATCACAGAAGATGTCACGATACTAAAGGCAAAGATCCCCCCACGGGTATATGATGAAAACATTTTTTATTGCGATTTTACCCTTCCTGGCAATAAAACATGAGTTGTGTTAAGATGTTCAAACACCAAATAGATACACCTATAGCAAGGCGTCAAGTCTGCATTCGCGACACGTACTTGCGGCAAAACATGCAAACAAACATGCTCTTCTTATTTTTCATCATTTTTGATACTGGCAAAATGCTCCCATAGATATAAATGCTCAACCGAGCTGTATGTGTTCTGATACGTGTCTTTGTATTGTTCGCCTTTTGGCATTCTCTGGAATAACATTGGTGTAGAAACTAGGCCACAAAGAAGGCTATCTCTGGTGTAGGCCAATTAGTTTCAAGGACAATGCGTGTATCATTTTCAGAGCATGTGTATTTGCGTGTTTTGCCACAAGTATGCGTGGTTAATGCAGACTTGATGCCTTGCAAAAAGTATATATTTGGTATTTGAACAATCGTAACACATATTTTATTTCCAAAAAGGGTAACACCTATTCTTATACTTTTTGGATCTTTCGGTAAAGTCACATAGATAGGTTCAAAGAAAATAACAACACAAATAGCAAAAAAACTACGACGTTTCAATCTCAACACAAGCAGTCGTCATCAGCAAAAGGGGTGTTAGCTTCGAAAGACAAACTGTTTATAAAGATTTGAAATGGGCGTAGCCAAAACGTCAGCAGCCAATGTTAAAGTAAGTGGTGGGTACCGACTGCGGCGGTGGTGGGTTTTTCTCCTAACCCCCCTTTTCCTGATGACGACCGCTTGTGTTACAATCGAAACGTCGTAGTTTTTTGTTTGTTTTCCTTGAACCTATCTACGTTACTTTACCGAAAGACCCAATGAATATTAATTCCTGCAGTCACGAAAGCTTTAAGTTAAAATTTAACCTATTCTTATTTTTCATCATTTTTTATGCTGGCATAAAGGTCTCATAGATATCCCCCATATACCCTCAACAGCCTGTTAGGGTAAATGCTGTTAGTAGCGAGTAGCAGCACCTATGAAGGCCGGAATTGGCACATGAAGGGGGTGGGTGTCTAAAACCACGCCCGACTGCCTTTGTTTCCTCAGTGGCGGATGCTTACACACCAGCCTTGACGGAGGCCCAGGACCGGTTCAGATAATCGTCACTGGTGTTGTTGGCCATGGGTGGGTATCGGGCTCGGGTCGTTGTTTTTTTTTTCATCGCAGCGTGCTACCGTTGCGCTGCTGCATCATGGTTCATATTATGATCATTATTATGACCCAACTGGCAACCTGAATCCGGCATGGGAAGACCTCACAGCAGATGGCGGGACACTGTCAGGGAAGAGCTGTAGGTCTGTAAGTCTGTGGATCTCTGTGTGCGTCTGTGGGTCTCTGTGTGATGAGGCTGTCAGGGCAGCTTCAGGATCTTGTGGAGGGTGGGTAGTTGTGGCATCTACATCTTTGACCGAGATGACATCTTCACTTTGATCTTGAATGTCCTGGCACGACTTGACAGATTTGGTCGGATGGGAAACAATGGCCTCACTCAACAAGAGGCTGATTCTGTGAAAACCCAAGGACAGGTGGTAACCCTCCCTTCAGGGTCTGTGGTGATGAACCCATCCTGGATAGGCACCTTGTCCTGTTGCTGCTGCTTCCTCCCACAAGAACTGCAAGCACTGCAAAGGGATGCAGAGTGGTGTGGAGAGAGAGGCGTGCTGAGACAGGAGGAAGAGGAGCACGCGGGTGCGAGGATGCACTCAGGTCTTGAGAGCCCATCACACGGGACTGTCAGGGGAGTATGCAGCATTGGGGTGGGATTGGGCAGTGCGCGTCGTGGTTCCGGTGGCTAGGAGACGTGAACTACGTCGCCTACAGGAGGTCGTGGGTTCGATCCTGACTGACGCCTGTTGTATATTTGGAGTTTGCGTGTCTCTCTCTCTCCCCCCGTGGTTGCGTGGATTTTTCTCTGGGTCCTCCGGTTTTTTCCCTGCACATTCAGAATCAACGTCAATCATTCAGAGTATTTAGCTGCTGGTTGAAATTTCTACGTGATGATATGTCACTTTATTCAACTATCATTTGTGGCCAGGTTGCATCTGATAAAGAGCTATGTAGCTCAGTATTGAATGAGCCTTACCTGGTAAAAAAAACAGTTTGTTCTCCTATAACGCTGCATGTTTTCATAACGCGATGAATCTATTACGGAACAAAATCTTTATAACGTGGATGCAAATTGTATATAACAAGATTGAGCGAACAGAACTACGTCGCGTGAGTAGGAATAAGCGGTCGTGCGGCCGCCTGGGTGTAGCGTCACACAAGGCATTGGGATGCTGCTGGATGCTTCTAGTTGCTACCCACGTGCCTCGGTCTTCGTTCGACCTGCGTTGCGCATCTCCCGTTATCGCGGACTGTGCTTCACCCCCCTATATTTGATATTATTTATTATAACGCCATGTTTCCATAACGCAGTGTTCTTCAGGAATGGAACTACAACTACCGCCGCCACGTTATAGGAGAACACAGACTGTAGTTAGAATTGGAAGGGGGAGGCTCGTGGAGAGGCAGTACGAGCAATGATGGCCTCCGCATCCAGCAGCGGATAGACCGTGGCTGACGGCGGCAAATGCTGAAGCTTCTCGAGGCGATCGGAGAGGGAGGGGCGGTCTCATCCCCTGGGCGATAGCACAGGGTGCGATCGCTGGCGGTCGTGTCGGAAGACTTTAAACGCGCCGACGATTCCTAACCGCGGCCAGACCCGCGGGCAGGTGACAACATTTACGAAGGGGCTACGCTTCACCGATATCCCTCATCGGGGGTGAGACTGACGCGCATCAGACGCGGCGTTTCGCCACACAAACTGGTATTAGAAACGCCCACCCTTCCACGGCGGTCGGACATCTCGGATGGAAGAGGTGGTAGTTAATCGCATCTACCCCATACATACGCAAACCTGCCGAATGTAGAATAACTATTGGTGAACGCGTTCATGCGGCTGAGTGGACAGAGCCCACGTCGGAAGATTCGAATCAAAATCTTGATTGAGCTATAAAGCTCTTTTTTACAGATGTCCGGTATGGGGCACGGGCTCGGCAAGTTGCACCAACAAACACAATACACAACACAGATAGGTGTGCGAAATAGAGAAAATGTGAATATATATAAAAAACGTATGAGTAGAAATTGCATAAGTACATATGTTCCTGCCGATGTTTCGATACTAAACACAAGCTTGAGGCAAGGCAGCAAAACAACAACAGTCCCAGACCACACCAAGACAACAAAAATAGCACAGTCGCTCAATAAAGTGACGCAAAGATGTAAATGGCGCCGGCTACCTGTGCACCGTCGCTCTGCAGTCGCGCCAGCTGCTCCCCCGCTATGCGTACGCGACGTACGATGGTGCTGCGCTTGAGAATGACAATAATGTTACGCAGGCATACCTCGTAGAGTGCTCAGGTTGCGTTCTTGGTAAACGCAGTGCGGTACGAAACAGCATTATAGCAGGTCACTAAACATGGTTCCAATGGGGATGCGTTCTCGACAGTGCATTTTTTGTTTAACTATGAGCGATATATGAGGGCTTCATTGGGGTATCGGCAATGGCCTTAATAATGATATGTACACATGATAAATGCATGATAGCATTTTATTATTGAAAATAGTAACTTTTAAAAATGACATGAAAAAGAGAGTAACTTGAATACTCACCAGCGCATTTGGTCGGAGTTTGCATAAGGTTAACCATCGCCTACTATATGGTGGATCGTAACGTGGTACAGAACCTACTACTACTACTAGTACTACTAGTAGTAGTAATAGGTTCTACTACAAGAGATGGGATGGTGGATCTTAACGTGGTACAGAACCTACTACTAGTAGTACTACTAGTAGTAGTAGGTACCACTACTAGTAGTAGTAGGTACCACTACTAGTAGTAGTAGGTACCACTACTAGTAGTAGTAGGTACCACTACTAGTAGTAGTAGGTACCACTACTAGTAGTAGTAGGTACCACTACTAGTAGTAGTAGGTACCACTACTAGTAGTAGTTGGTACCACTACTAGTAGTAGTAGGTACCACTACTAGTAGTAGTAGGTACCACTACTAGTAGTAGTTGGTACCACTACTAGTAGTAGTAGGTACCACTACTAGTAGTAGTTGGTACCACTACTAGTAGTAGTTGGTACCACTACTAGTAGTAGTTGGTACCACTACTAGTAGTAGTAGGTACCACTACTAGTAGTAGTAGGTACCACTACTAGTAGTAGTAGGTACCACTACTAGTAGTAGTAGGTACCACTACTAGTAGTAGTAGGTACCACTACTAGTAGTAGTAGGTACCACCACTACTAGTAGTGGTAGGTACCACCACTACTAGTAGTAGTAGGTACCACCACTACTAGTAGTAGTAGGTACCACTACTAGTAGTAGTAGGTACCACCACTACTAGTAGTAGTAGGTACCACCACTACTAGTAGTAGTTGGTACCACTACTAGTAGTAGTTGGTACCACTACTAGTAGTAGTAGGTACCACCACTACTAGTAGTGGTAGGTACCACCACTACTAGTAGTAGTAGGTACCACCACTACTAGTAGTAGTAGGTACCCACTACTAGTAGTAGTAGGTACCACTACTAGTAGTAGTAGGTACCACTACTAGTAGTAGTAGGTACCACCACTACTAGTAGTAGTAGGTACCACTACTAGTAGTAGTAGGTACCACCACTAGTAGTAGTAGGTACCACCACTACTAGTAGTAGTAGGTACCACTACTAGTAGTAGTAGGTACCACCACTACTAGTAGTAGTAGGTACCACCACTACTAGTAGTGGTAGGTACCACCACTACTAGTAGTGGTAGGTACCACCA